GCCTAAGCCCCTCGCGGACCGAAGAGCGGCCTGGCTCGCCCGAGGCCCGAGCGACGTTCTGTCCTTCCGCAGCGGCTCCGTCGCCACAGCCCCTCGACAGGCAGGGGTCTCCACGGAGCCTCCAGAAGGTTCGGTCACTCGCGGGCTCGCCCGAGGCGCGAGCGACGTTCTGTCCTTCCGCAGCGGCTCCGTCGCCACAGCCCCTCGACAGGCGTAGTTCTAGCGACAGGGGTCTCCACAGATGGGGCGACGAGATCTATGCATATCCACTGCTCCTGGCCAGGCCCATCCTGGGCCCAGGAGCGGTGTATATGCCTCCCTGGCCAAGCCAGGAGGGCGTATACACAGCTCTTGGGCCCAGGATTGGCCTGGCCGGGAGCAGTGGATAACTATGTATAGATATCGTCGCCCTAACAGAGCCTCCAGAAGGTTCGGTCACTCGCGGGCCCGCCTGGGCTGACCCAGTGGCTGGAAGGGCGGGGGGTGGCGGCACGGCAGGCTGCCTCACGGGTCACGGGGCGTGGGCGCCTCTTTTCTCCTCGGCGGCGAGGCCGAAGCGCTGCCCCGGCGGGCGGGCGATGGGGGCAGCCGATGCGCGGAGCGGCCGGCGTGCAAGGGGGAGGAACTACAACCCGCTGGGTGAAAAAGCGGAGACCGTGGGGATCGAGAAAGACAGGGTTGGCCTCCGCACCTCTCGCCACTTTTCTATGGAGGAAAGGCCACATGGGGTCCGCGTCTGGAAGTGCGATTGTGCCCGGGACTTGCTCAAAAAAACAGCTTTCAGATCGCCTTCCAGGGCGGTCTGAAAGTTTGCCGTGGCATCTGAACATTGCGATTTCGCGTGGGACTTCTTCACGAACAAAATCAGATCGATCTTCTCATGCCGCTCGAGATGGGCGACATCGCCTGAGAATTCCTCCAGGGGCATTCTCCGGCCGCCTTGCACGTCGCCAGACAGTGGCGGCTTCGTTTGAGCTGTCCTAGCAACCTCGCAGGCCTAGAGGTTGACACCGAGACCAGGATCGGCGGTGTGCCTCCACCGAGGGAAGAAGATCCCGATCTCGGTGATGGTGGTAAGATTCTGGCTTCCAAGGTGGCCGAACTATTGCCACCAACACCGAAATCTAGGACCATCTTCCTCATGTGGAGGCAACCCCCTGTGTTGGTGTTGGTGCCAATTTTTTGGCCTCCAAAGCCGCGCGTCTCGTCACCCCCGCGGCGCCGTGCCTCCGTTGGGTTCACGAGCCCGTCTGGGCGTCCTCTTGGGATCGACCGGAGGTCGGAGCTCGAGGTTTTCTCGGTCAGCGAAGACACAAGGGGTGTTCTCTCGCATAATTCAGAAGGGGAAGAACACAGACACAATTAATAGTCGATTCCCCAGAACATATGGGAACATATGGGAAGTGGGGGGGAAGACAAAGCCCAGAAAATATGGGGAGTATCCTGTTATTTGTGTGTATTTGTTTGTGTGCCCCAGAGCCCCTTGAAATACCCAAGGGTTGTTCCCTCGCATAATGCCGATCACCACTTTTCTAATCCAGGGGGTGGTAGACAGAAAGACGGCGGCCGCGGAGGACGGGAGGAGGCGGAGGCCTGGAGGGCCGTGGGCACACAAAGCCGCGAACATGCAGACCTGCTTGACACCAGCTTTTAAGTCGGGAATGCCCCTCCTACGGGACGAACATTCAAACATAGTCAAGAAATAGTATTGGGATTTTTATAAAGTAATATATATATATACATATGATAATGTCTGAGCATTTTCGGAGTACTTCCTATTTTTCGTCCAAGCTCCGCCTGTAGGAGGACACGCCCGACCTCACACTAGCTACCCTTCTCCGGTGGAGACTCGAGGGAGTTTGCGCGGGCGCGGCCGGGGCGGACTGTCTGACAGCGGTGCGGCCGCGCCTTCGGAAACTTGTTGAGCAGCGGCAGACGTCCGTCGATTTTGGAATGCTTCCGGGCGTCACGTGTGGCCATCTTGGTGGCATCTCGGGACTCTTGGGGCCGTCGAGGCGGGCTCGGGTGCCACCTCGGGGTCTTCTCGGGGAATCCTGCGCCGTATGAGGGGTTCCTTGGGCCTCTATGTGAGGGCCCTCAGGGACTCCTCTGGGGCCCTCTCTTCGGTGTGTCGTAGACCCCTCTTGGGCCATGTGGGGCTCCTCTCCTGGGCCATGTGCAGGCCCCTGACCTGAGGCAGATTAAGAACCAGACGCAGCGAAACGCCTAAGCATGTGATTCTTCCCAACCATCCTGTGGTGTTGGGTCCTCGTTTTGAAGAGACGGTGGCCCGCGTCTCCTCTCCTCCTCTCCTCCTCCTCTCCTCCTCCTCCTCCTCCTCCTCCTCCTCCTCCTCCTCCTCCTCCTCCTCCTCCTCCCACCATCATCATCGTCATCACCCATTTCGGCACACCCCTCACACGTTTCGTGGCCCAATAGGGAGCTCCACCGAAGGTCCCAGTGGGTGTGCCCGCATGCGTCCCGCACACCCATTTCAGCACACCCCTCACACGTTTCGTGGCCCCTGTAGAGGGCTCCACCGAAGCTCCCAGTGGGTGTGCCCGCATGCGTCCCGCACACACACATTTCGGCACACCCCTCACACGTTTCGTGGCCCCTGTAGGGGGCTCCACCGAAGCTCCCAGTGGGTGTGCCCGCATGCGTCCCGCACACGCATTTTGGCACACCCTTCACACGTTTCGTGGCCCCAAGGGAGCTCCACCGAAGGTCCCAGCGGGTGTGCCCGCATGCGTCCCGCACACCCATTTCGGCACACCCCTCACACGTTTCGTGGCCCCACAGGGGCTCCACCGAAGGTCTCAGTGGGTGTGCCCGCATGCGTCCCGCACACCCATTTCGGCACACCCCTCACACGTTTCGTGGCCCCATAGGGAGCTCCACCGAAGGTCCCAGTGGGTGTGCCCGCATGCGTCCCGCACACCCATTTCGGTACACCCTTCACACGTTTCGTGGCCCCATAGGGAGCTCCACCGAAGGTCCCAGTGGGTGTGCCCGCATGCGTCCCGCACACCCATTTCGGCACACCCTTCACACGTTTCGTGGCCCCATAGGGAGCTCCACCGAAGGTCCCAGTGGGTGTGCCCGCATGCGTCCCGCACACACATTTCGGCACACCCCTCACACTTCGGGGCCCCATAGGGAGCTCCACCGAAGGTCCCAGTGGGTGTGCCCGCATGCGTCCCGCACACCCATTTTGGCACACCCTTCACACGCTTCGTGGCCCCATAGGGAGCTCCACCGAAGGTCTCAGTGGGTGTGCCCGCATGCGTCCCGCACACCCATTTCGGCACACCCTTCACACGCTTCGTGGCCCCATAGGGAGCTCCACCGACGGTCTCAGTGGGTGTGCCCGCATGCGTCCCGCACACCTATTTCGGCACACCCCTCACATGTTTCGTGGCCCCATAGGGAGCTCCTCCGAAGGTCCCAGTGGGTGTGCCCGCATGCGCCCCGCACACCCATGTCGGTACACCCTCCACACGCTTCGTGGCCCCATAGGGAGCTCCACCGAAAGTCCCAGTGGGTGTGCCCGCATGCGTCCCGCACACCCATTTCGGCACACCCCTCGCACGTTTCGTGGCCCCGTAGGGAGCTCCACCGAAAGTCCGAGTGGGTGTGCCCGCATTCGTCCCGCACACCCATTTCAGCACACCCTTCACGCGTTTCGTGGCCCCTATAGGGAACTCCACCGAAGGTCCCCGTGGCGCAGTCCGCATGCGTTTCCCCAACCCAGTACACCTCCGTCGGAGGCCGTCGGAGTTCCGCGCCTCGCTCGCTCGTCGTCGCTCTGCCCAGCGGCAGGAGCCTTGCCCGCTATCAGCCAGCCAGCTAGCTCTCTCTGCTGCGCGCAGCGGACGACCCGCGCGCGTCGCTGGGACCCCTCCGGGGCGACCTGCGCGCGTCGCTGGGACACTCGCTCGCACGCAGATTCATTCACAGTCAGACGCACTCGCGCTCAGATTCACCCGCGCTCAGTCTCCCTACGTACTCAGATCAATCGTTTTCGTTCGCGTTGTGTACCACGCCGTTCATGTCGGAACACCCCTAGCACGGTTCGTTGCCTCATAGGGATCGCCACCGACAAAGGGAATCACAATTGCGGTGCTCACACCTGCATATGGTTGGGTCCTTCGTCAGGCTATTTTTCTTATCCATTGTTTTGCCGATCGGCACGCGCCCTCGCCCCCCCCCCCCCCCGTGGAGTAGATCTTGGCTGCTGTTCTGGGCGTCTGTTTCGAGCAGGTGGAGTCTCCCCCATAGGACGCACGGCTGCAAAGAGTCGTTTGAAGCAGAGGCCCGGCACCAGACTCCCCCCCCTCCCCCCCCCTCCGCCCAACGTCGAAACGCCGAGCAAGAAAACGCTTACCACGGAAAGCTTGCCACCAGTGGGGTTTCCCGGGGTGTGCGGGCGTCTCGACTGGAGGCGCGCGCAGCGCAGCAGAGACTCGGCGACCGGGGTGTTCCTGGAGTCTCGGTGCGATCGCCTCCCTGCTGCAGCAGCGCGGATGCAGCACGGCAGCTATGCAGACGAGGCTGGGTAAGTTTTGCTTGGGCCCGTGCCTTGGACAAACAAAAATTTACCACGGAAGCGCATGCTGCTTTGCAACGGTGCTCTGGGGGGGGGGCCGCGCCGGCCGGCCTGCGCCGCGCCGCAGCGGCGGCGACCCCAACGCGCAGGGCCCTGCCACGCGGCGGTGGAGTGCCGCCGCGTGGGCCAGGCCTCGGCCGACCTGTCGGGCGGCCTGCCCCTCGTCGAGGCGCGCTCCTCTCGAGGCGGCGCGGCCCGCGCGGTGTCGCCACGACGGGAGCGGCCGCGGAGGGCCCCCTCGGAGGCCCAGCGGGGAGCTTCGATCGACCGATCGATCGGCGCCGACGGACGACCAGCGAACCTCGATCGATGGGTGGCGTCCGCTCGATCGATCGAGCCTCGGCCCTCGTTCGATCGAGCGGCAGCAGGGGACGCCGACGCCGACGGCCGCAGCCGCAGCCGCCTCTGCTCCGGCCGCGGCCGGCACGCCTCTCGCGCCCCGCGCGGGCTGCCTGGGCTCCGCCGCAGGGCGGGGGGCACCGCTCGCCTTGCGGCCGCGGGGGGCCTCCGCAAGGCGAGGAGCTGCGCCCCCCCACCCCCCGGGGCGGGGAGGCCTCGGGCGGATGGCCTCGTCCGACGTGGTGGTCAGCTGGAAGAGCTCGGTCGGGGAAGCGTAAGACTCGGGTGCGCCGGAGCTCCGAGGGAGAAAAGGTACCCCCATACCTCTACGCTCCGCTCGTTTTCCCCGTGTCGGGCCTCCTCGGAGGCCCTCGTCGCCACCCTTGGATTCGCCTCGAAGTCCTGGTCAGAACGCACCCCGGGAGAGGTCCGGGGAGTAGCGGTATCGGTATTCATTGTTCTCCCCAGGAGCTCGGGTTTGCCGACGCCTTTTTGGACGAGCGCGTCCTGGGCTCTGGCGGCCCAGCTTTCGCGGGAGGCTTGCAGCGGGAATTGTCGCGTCGAGTTTCAGGCTGGGTCTCGCCCCCCGAACCCGAGTCTTATGTCTCCCTGGCTCGGGGAGCACAAGCCGGCGTGCACAGAACCGCTTGGAGGTCCGCGCGGCTTTCTCGGGTATCCGCGCTGGGCCGTCCCGGCGGCATCTCTGGCGCCGTCCTTGGCTCGCCCCTCCGCGTGCCGGGAGGAGGGGCGTCCAGCGCCGATGCAAGACAGCCGCGCGGACCTCCGAGACTTTACGTGCCTGCCGATCTCGCTGTTCCCCTGAGAACGTGAGACTGACGAGGGGTGACGTGGCCCTATCTCGAACGGCAGCAAGCGCAGAGGCAACGAGAGGGGGGGACCGGCTGACCCGGGGGGGGAGCATCGGCACCCGTTCGCCCATTCATCGCTGGTCGGGGCCTGGGGCCTAGGCTCAAGTCGGGCACGTCCCTCTGCAGGGGGAATATTCAAAAATAGAGGAAACAAATTTTCTGGGGACGATGTTTCGGCTATTCTTGTTTTTTGATGATTTCTATGTTTCCTCCGAGCTCCGCCTGTAGGATGACCTGCCCGACCTAAAAACCCAGGCCCCGCACCCCGCCCAGAGACCTCTGCTGTTTCGCCACCGGGGGCCTGTAGCTCCGCTCCGGTCTGTCGGCGACGTGTTGACGTTTCCGGGCCATATTCAGGAGGGAAAACACACAGACACAATTAAGCGTCGATTCCCCCGAAAATATGGGAAATTATGGGAAGTGGGGGGGCGGACAAAAATCCAGAAACTATGGGAAAATATGGGGAATCTGTTTATTTGTGTGTATTTATTTGTGTGTCCCAGGGCCCCTTCACATATGGCCCCCACCCCGCCCCGAGCCAGCCCCCCTATGTCACCTCTCCACTTCTGATCTTCCAACCTACGTTAGCGCCGATCACCAGAAGGAACTTCGAGCACCACGACAGAACCGAAACTCGAGGGTCTTCACGTCTCGGGCCCTGGGAGGCGATGCCCGTTCGACACTGTTTCGGCACTTTTCTGGGTGCTGGAAACAGTTCTGGGACGTGGTCCTTAAGTACGATGGGGGCAACATAGCTTTCCACATCTGTCAGAGGAGGAAGCGGTACCCATACTGCTACCCGTCGGCCGTTTTCCCCTTCTCGGGCCTCCTGGGAGGCCCTCGTCGCCACCGCTGGATTCGCCCCGAAATCCTGGTCAGAACGTACCCCGGGAGAGGTTCGGGGGTAGCCGTATCGTCGTCTCCCCAATCTAGGCCTCCTGATGGGGTCCGAGTAGATGGGGTCGGAGGATCGCGCCGCATTTGCGATGCACTGGCGATGCGGCTCGATGTGGAGCCCGATGTTCTCGACGCATGCGTCGCCGACGCATCGTTGGTGCATTGACGATGCAGCGGCGATACCTTTCCGATGCATCAGCGATGCGGCGCGATCCTCCGGCCCCATCTGCTCGGTCCCCATCTAGGATCGGGGTTGGACAGACCTCCTACCCTGACGCGTCGATTGAGGAATGGGCCGTCTTCGGTTCGCGAGAGGGCGTCGCGGCCGTTCCTTTTTTCGGGTCCAGGTCCGTCGGTTTCGGTCCAAGGCCGTTTTCACTGAGGAGGGGGTTACTACAGGGAGGTTTCTCCAACGCCGACAGGAGGCCTCTATACCACAGACGCCGGCACTCACGCACATCTTCGGAGCCCCGCGGGTTTTTTGTGGCTCGGCGCTGAGCGCCCCGGCGGTGCCTTCGGCGCCGCCCCCGGGCGCGCTCCGCGCCGACCGGCCTCCGAACCAGTTCGCCTGGGCAGTCTGTTGCCGTTCTGTGGTTTCACGAGGGCCACTGGCTCAACGACGAGTGCATCACGTTCTTCTTCTCGGGCCGGGGGAAAGGGGGGGATTGGGAAAGGGGGGGGTTACGGCATCTGCTGCATGCAGCTGGTTTCGGCCCCGCCGCCGGGCCCATTCCTCGATACATGGCCGCCTCCGGCGCCGGGAGGCGCCGGGAAAATCAGCTACGTGAGCTGATTCTCACCCCCCCCCTTTGCTATCCCCCTTTTTCGCCCGACCCGATCTTCGAGCACCTTGCCAGCAAGCACCGCGCGAACATCGAGGGCCGCGTCGCGCTGATAGGCGCAGAGACAGTGTTCTGGCTGGCCAATGAGGACGACATGGAGGAGCTGGTGGACGCGGCCGAGGCCCTGGGGCTGGGCTCCGCGGAGCTGGTGCTGTGCCCCGTGAACGACCACACCAACGTCGCCAGCGCGGGTGGCTCTCACTGGTCCCTGCTGGTCGGCCGCGCGACTCCGGGGCCGGGGACCACCAGCAGTCCATCTAAGACGCCTCTGGCGAGCCGCCGCTGCCCCCCGCGTGAAGCGCCCTGTGCCCCATTGGTCGCCGACAGGCACTTGATAGCTCCAACCCGCCCAGGAAGGTGCGGATTCACTATCGGGGGCCTATCGCCGATCTAGCGGCGATGTATCGCCGATTCCAGGTCGATGCATCCCCCCCTGTGCCAGTCCCCCCCTATCGTTGCCCCTCAAACCACCCCAAGCCAACCCGAAGGCCCCAATTTACCATGCGTTCCCAGCGGGGGGGGGTCGGGGATCATCGACAAAAACACTTGTGGAGCCCGTGCCACCCCCAACCCGAAATGCGGGTCTTCGGGTTAGGTTGGGGTGGTCTGGCATGTAGTCACTTCCTGGGTGGCCGACGGATTACCACCAGCACCGAGACCTAGGATTAGGATCACCTTCCCCTGGTGGAGGCAGCCCCCTTGTGTTGGTGTTGGTGCCAATTTCCACGCCCCCAATGTGGCGCGTGGAGTAGCGGCGGGCCTCCTCTCGGGCCACGAGATTCTGTACACTTCCACTGCTTCCTGGCCGGGCCCTTCCTGGGCCCAGGAGCTGCGTACTGCGCCCTCCCGGCCAAGCTGGGAGGGCGTGGCGCGTACGCCGCTGCTGGGCTCGGGATGGGCCTGGTCAGGGAGCGGTGGATCTGTATAGATTCCGTCGCCCCTCGCGCGTGAAAGTCGGCGCGATGCGCTGCTGAGCGAGGCGGCGCTGGCCCCATGCTTCGGCAGGGTGCGTCTGGCGCCCCTTCGCGCCAGAGCCACGGACCTAGGGGGCCACATGCGAACCCTACCCCCACCCCCCACGATTTCTGAGGGGGAGGGCGGGGTTCACTTCGCTCGGGAGCTCCCGAACGAAGTGAACCCCGGCGGCGGAGGAGGGAGGGCGGCGGTGTGCAGATCGCCATCTGGAGCCGCCGACGTTGTACACCGCCTCCCCGTCCAAAGGTGCATGCAGAGTTCGCCGGAGGGTGTATGTGTATATCAGAGTGAGGGGGCCGAACGGTCATGCACCTTCCCCGGGTGGTTGCATTGAATCAAATAATCATTGTTCATCCCCCCTCGGTGACCATTGCATTTTCAATTGTAGTGCTCCTCCCGGAGCTCGCACCTTGTTTTTCAAAAGGGACAGGTTCGGGACACCAACCTGGGTGATTGGCCCCCGGCTTACAACCACAACGGCTCCCGCCTGCTACATCCCGACAATCTGTTTGGGACTCGCCCCCTGTTCGTTGCGGCGCCGTGCCCCCAAGGTTTATGTCGGGCCTGTCCCCCTACAGGGGGATTTTCGACGAAAAATAAAAATTACACCAAAAATGCTCCAAAAGGGTTTCAAAATATTCAAAAAATAGTCCCCAGACCATTTTGGGATTATTTTCAAAATATTTTTTGGGGTATTTTTTATTGTTCGTCGAAAATCCCCCTGTAGGGGGACAGGCCCGACCTAACCCACGTTTCACGAGTCACGCTCCCGCTCTGGGCTTTCTAGCAATGGCATTCGGGCATTCAGCTGTCGCTCGAGACTTCATGCTCATCTTAGGCCGACGCTGCAGCGAGAGCCGCCCGCTCGGCCTGGCCGCCTGTGGGCCCGCGCGCCCCGCCTGGCCGTGCGGGGGCCCGCCCGCCCCTTCCGCGCGCCCGCCCGGTTCTGCCGCCTGCGCTGCTGCTCCCGACCCTTTTTTTTGCGGGACGGGAAAGTGACCACAGCCACTGCTTTTCTTTTGTTGCCGCCTTCCAGCCCGCAGAAACAAAGCTGCGCCGCCTTCCAGCTGGGCGAAAAAGAAGCAGTGGTTGTGGTCATTTCCCTGGTGCCAAGCTCAACGAAAATGACCACAACCACTGCTTTGTTTCTGCGGGCTGGAAGGCGGCAACAAAAGAAAAGCAGTGGCTGTGGTCGTTTCCACGCCCCGTATTCTTTCGGACGCAACTCCTGGGAGGTCAAATTCTGATTCAGCCCTGGTCCGAAATCCCGCCGAACCCGGCTCAGTCCCGCGTATTCCAGCTTCATCCGGTGTAATCCCGCTGAATCCCGCTGAATCCAGCTGAATCCCGCTTGATCCGAGGCCCACTCCGGCGTAACAGCCCCCCAATGGGGCTTAATCCTCCGTGATCCTTCCGACGAAAACCTCCCAGTAGTTGCCTCCTAACCTTCTCCTGCAGTCTCTTCGTTCCTCCCCTCCTTCCCGTGTTTCAGGGGCTGCGCCAGCCACGCTCGGCAGGTAAGGAAGACGTGTCCCCAAGGGGGGTACGATCGAAGACGAAGAGGGCGGGTATCGAGCGTTTGGGAGATGCGTGTTGCATGGCACGCGGGCAGAGAGGACCGAACAATGTTTAAATGATTCTTGAGTTTTCTTTTGTAAAGAATGATTATCGTTGATCCCCCCTTCGGTGACCTTCGTGTTTTTCAATTCAAGTGCTCCTCTTGAGGCTCGCACCGTGCTTTCAACACAAGATCAAATATGGTGTCACAAAAACTGGATTGTTGACGCCAAACAACAACAGCAACGGCTTGATACTTCCTCACAACTTGTTTGAATATCGCCCTCTCTCATTCCTTAAGAATACTTTTTGTTGATCCCCCCAGTGACAATTCTATTTTTCAATGCAAGTGCTCCTCCCGGGGCTCGCACCTTTTGTATCAGGGGGGTCCCGACTTACAACAACAACACCAGCAGCAACAGTAGCAACAACAACAACAACAGCAACACCAACAACATCAGCAAGACCAACCACAACAGCAACACCACCACCACCATCAACACCACCACCACCACCACCACCACCAACAATTATTTAAAGAGTGTCCACGCTTACCTGCTCGCGTGCCATCCAACACGTATATCCCAAATCCTCGGTACCCGCCATCTCCGTCTTCGATCGCACCCCCTTGGGGGTATCTCTTTCTTACCTGCTACGTGTATTTCGTGCAGTCCCTAAGGCAGGGGAAGAGAGGACGGATGGAAGGAAGGGACAAGGGGCAGGCGGGTTGCTGGAGCGTGCGCCCTGCATTAATCGCGAGGAAATCTCGAGCGGTAGCGCGATTCCCAAATACCTCGTGAGAAAGGCCAGCGCGAGGGCGCGGCGTTTGAACAAATTGCGAAGGCGTCCTACGCGAGAGAGCGATCCCTGTAGAACTTGTGAGGAGGTCCGGCGCGAGAGCTCCATTGTATAGTACATAGTGCGGAAGCACCAGGCGGGAGCCGTTCCTGTCGTAAACCGGGGGCTCAACAACTCAGTTTGGTGACCCTTCTTTTCCCTTGTTTAAAAAACGGGTGCGAGCCCTGGGAGAAGCACTTTCATTGAAACGCGCAAAAGGTTACATGAGGGGAAGGATCAACAACATTTATGATATAGAACTGATGATTCAACGGCTCCCGCCTCATACTTCCTCACAATGTATGCCAACATCGCGCTCTCGCGCGGGACTGTCTCACAAGTTATGCAAGAATCGCGCTCTCGCGTGGGACTTCCCCGCAATTCACTAAAAAGCCGCGCCCTCGACGCTCAGGAATCGCGCTCTCGCTCTGGTTTTTCTAGCGATTTATTTGGACATCGTGCTATCGCTCGTGGTATTCTCGCGATTCATAGAAGACTCACGCTCCAGCAGCCCGCCTGCTCGACCTGGCCGCCTGGGCCCGCGCTTTCTGCTCCTAGCCCCCTCCTGCAAAACTCTCCCGTGCTCCATCTTTCTCCCTCCCCTTCTACTCGTTTTTTTCCATTGTTTTAGGGGCTGCGCTAACTACACGTGGCAGGTAAGGAAGGTTGCCCCCAATGGGGTGCAATCGAAGGCGAAGATGGCGGGTACCGAGGATTTGGGATATACGTGTTGAATGGCACGCGAGCAGGTGAGAGTGAACATTTTTAACATCCATGCAGGTTGTTGTTGTTGCTGCTGCTGTTGCTGTTGTTGTTGATCTCTCATTTCTGAAACAAATGTTTTTTATAGATTCCCGCTGCCCGGTTCACATTTTATTTTTTCAATTGAAGTGCCCCGCCCTGGGATTGCACCCTGTTGTTTGTCAGGGAAGGTATTGAGGCTTAAACTGTGTCGTCGGCCCCCGGGTTACAACAACAACGGCTCCCGCCTGAGACTTCCTCACAATTTAGCCAGGACCCCCGCTCCCGCCCGAGACTTCCTTGCATGTTATGCAGGAATCGCGCTCTCGCTTAGGAGTTCCTTACAATTTATTCAGGAATCGCTTTCTCCGCGCTCTGGAGTCGCGCTCTCGCTGGAGACTTGCTTGCAATTTATTGAAGAATAGCGCCCTTGCGTCGGAATTTCCCGCAATTTACTCAAGCACCGCGCTCCCGACACTCAGGCACCCAGGAGTCGCGCTCACGCTAGGACTCCCTCACTGATTAGAATCGGGATCTCGCTGCCCTTCGTGGCCCCGTTGCAGCCCTTCGTGGCCCCCTCGCTGCCCTTCGTGGACCCGTTGCAGCCCTTCGTGGCCCCCTCGCTGCCCTTCGTGGCCCCGCTGTCGCCCTTCGTGGCCCCCTCGCTGTCCTACGTGGCCCCGTTGCAGCCCTTCGTGGCCCCCTCGCTTTGTTTCGTGGCCCCGTTGCAGCCCCTCGTGTCCCCCTCGCTGCCCTTCGTGTCCCCGTTGCAGCCCTTTGTGGCCCCCTCGCAGCCCTTCGTGGCCCCGTTGCAGCCCCTCGTGGCCCCCTCGCTTTGTTTCGTGGCCCCGTTGCAGCCCCTCGTGTCCCCCTCGCTGCCCTTCGTGTCCCCGTTGCAGCCCTTCGTGGCCCCGTTGCTGCCCTCAGTGGCCCCGTCCTTGCCCTCCGCGGCCCAACGTACGCATGCCCTTCGTGGCTCCCGCTCGTTCGCGCCCGTCGTGGCCCTATGTCAATGCCCTTCGTGGCCCCGCTGTCGCCCTTTGTGGCCCCCTCGCTGTCCTACGTGGCTCACTTGCTACCCTCAGTGGCCCCGTCGTTGCCTTCTGTGGCCCCGCATCATCTGCCCTTCGTGGCCCCCGCTCGTTCGCGCTCTTCGTGGCCCCATACGCATTCCCTTCGTGTCCCCGCTGTCGCCCTTCGTGGCATACTTCGTGCCCTTCGTGTCCCTGCTGTCGTTCTTTCTTTCTTTCTCTCTCTCTCTCTCTCTTTCTCTCTCTCTCTCTCTCTCGCTTTCGCTCGTCGTCGTCGTCGTCGTCGTCGTCGTCGTTGTCGACGTCGTCGTCGTCGTCGTCGTCGTCGTCGTCGTCGTGGTCGGTCTCCTGTCCGTCCCTCTTGGGGTCGGGCTGCCGCCGATCAGCGCTGCCGCTGGCCAGGCCGACGGTCCGCGGCCACCCCGCCGCTTGCCAGGGCCCGGCCGGCAGGGAAGAAAGTATACCCTCCAAAAGGGGTACGATCGAAGACGAAGAGGACGGGTATCGAGGGTTTGGGAAATACGCGTTAACGGACACTCGAGCAGATAAGAGCGAATAGTCTTAAAATCATTGTTGTTGTCGTCGTCCCACTCGAGACCCGGCCCGCGATCCACCCGCGACCCGCCCGCGACCCACCTGCGAACCACCCCGCGCCCGCCCCCTCACTCTTACCCGCAACGGCGGGATGCTATACTTTCTCGTGGCGGAGTTTCCCTCCTCGCCTGCGGTCCGACGTAGCGACAGCAATTCAGCATCGTCAGTCGAATCACGCCTCGAGCCCTGGACCCCATCGTCCTGCGCTATTTTCCAAGCCCGATCGACAACGTGAGGGCCCCGGGGCCCGAGATTGGGCGAGCACGCCCGTGGCGAGCAGATTGCAGCGCCAGGATCTCAGGGGGCTCGAGACACGTGGCGAGGATGCCCGCCGGGGGAGGAGCGGAGGAACGCCAGGATCTCGGGGTCCTTCGCGCACGGGCTGCGAGCTGCGACACCTGTCGCCACTTTCGAGGGCTGCTGGTGGGTCCTGCGGGGTGAGGCACCGCGCGGACCTGAGCGGGACCTCGCCGTCCCTTGGGGGGCTGCGATCTGCGACATTGTCGCCGCCACTTTCGAGGGCTGCTGGTGGATCCTGCGGAGTGAGGCACCGCGCGGACCTGAGCGGGACCTCGCCGTCCCTGGGGGGGAGCGGCGGCGGACTCGTCTTCGAGCACTACGACTCGATGTCGCCGACGGCCAACGGCGCTGCCGCGCGGCGCCTCGCCGAGCGGCTGGCCGCGCTGCGGGCCGCGTGCGGCGCGGCGGCCGCCGGCGGGGGCGCCGCGGCCGCGGCCGCCGGGCGGGCGGTGCCGGTGGCGGAGGTGCCCGCCGCTCGGCAGGACATCGGGGAGCAAAGGCAGTCCTCCTCGTCCTCCTCCTCCTCTTCCTCCTCCTTCCCTCCCTCTCTCGCTCTCTCCCCTCCCTCCCTCCCTCTCTCCGTCCCTCCCCCTCCTCGTCCTCCTCCTCCTCCTCCTCCTCGTCCTCCTCGTCCTCCTCCTCCTCCTCCTCCTCCTCCTCCTCCTCCTCCTCCTCTCCCTCCCTCCCTCCCTCCCTCCCTCCGTCCCTCCCTCCCCCCCCCTCCCCTCCCTCCATCCCTCCCTCCGTCCGTCCCTCTCTCCGTCCCTCCCCTCCTCGTCCTCTCCTCCTCCTCCTCCTCCCTCCTCTCCTCCTCCTTCTCCTCCTCCTCCTCCTCCTCCTCCTCCTCCTCCTCCTCCTCCTCCTTCTCCCTCTTCGTCCTCCTCCTCTGTAGCTATTTTGGCTCAAGCGTTCGCATGCCCGCGCCGCCGTCCGCCGAGATAGCCGCTGTGCGCGCTAGGAGGGCCCTCCCGACGCTCGACGGCGCAACGCTGGTTGCTGCTGCCGTCCGCGCCGCCGTGGATGGCCGCGCTTCTCGGCGCACCGTCGTTGCTGTCGCCCGCGCGGCGGTGGCCGCTGCTGCATCGGCTGCGGTGGCCATGCCGCGCGTGCAGACGGCTGCCGAGCTGGTCGACGAGGTCGGAAAGGAAAAACCGAAGCCGACGGCGCAGGCGAAGGCGGAGCGGCGCGCCGTTGGGCGCGCTGGGCCGCCTGCTGCTGCTCTCGGAGTCGGTGATGCCGCCGGTGCGGCTGCAGGTGCTGGGCGGGGAGACGCGGCTCCCGCCGCGCTCCCGCTGGCGGCTGTGGCCAGAGGCGGCGATGGAGCTCGTGGTGGTGCGCCTGCTGGGCCGCCGTCCGGCACGAGCTTCGCCGACAGCTGGGCGGATAGGGCGCGTGCGGCTCCTTCGGCGCCGCTGGCCATGGTGGAGGACGCGCTGGAGCAGGCGGCTGCGCCGCCTGCGGAAGCGGCGGCCCCCCTGGCGCTGGCGGCTGCTGCTGGTGCTGCTGCCCCGCCGCCGAGGAGGCGGTGAAGTCGAGGGTGTTGGCGGCTGCTGCGGCCGGCGCCGACCTCGATCACGTCGCCTCCGTCGTGGCTGAGTTCAGCGCGGAGGCGGCTCGTCGTGCGGCTCGTCGTTTGGCTGCTGGCCCCCGCCTCGCGGGCGTGGGGTTCTTCGCGGTGCTGGAGGGCGGCTGCTTCCAGTGGCCCGTCGCGGACGCGCCCGCCGCCGCTTTCAGGGTCGCGCTATGGGCGTGCGTTGTCGTCCACGACGGCCTCAGGTATGCTTTCCATTCCTGGGGCTTTCGCCCTCCGCTTTGCCCCTTGGGGGGCGGCGGATCCATTTGTTCCTGGAGTGGCCCTCGTGACTCGGCTGCCCCTCCATGGCCCCGCTCCTCCGTCCTCCTCCCTCCTCCGTCCTCCCTCCTCCCTCCTCCCGTCCTCCTCCTCCTCTGTCCTCCCTCCTCCCTCCTCCCTCCTCCAGCCGCCGTCCTGACACGAGGGCTTTGGGTGCAGCTTCCCAGGGAAGCTGCGAGCCCCCCGTCGGACCGCTGCAGCGCGCTGGCCCGCCTCATCGGCCGCGGCGGCTGGCCGCGACTCCCGCGCACGCGCGGCGGCCCTGCCTGGCGCCGCCGCGGCTCGCGACCCCAGGCGCCCCGAGCCTGCCTGGCATCGCAGGCAGCGCCAGGCCCGAGGCCAGGCGCTTACTCTTCCACCAGTACGTTCAGCTGCACAGTTACTAGCGGGGCACCACGCGGCGATGGACCGCGCGGCACCATGGGCTCGGTCGCCCAGTCGCGGCCGCCATCGCATCAAGCGCAGCAGCGGCAGCATTGGCGGCGGAGCTGGATGGTTCTGTCCAAAGTGCGGCACACACAACGATGGCCGTTGGCGCTCGTGGTGTTATCCGTCGCAGCGGCCGAGTGCTGGCATGGCGCCGTCATCCCCAGGATCCGCGTCGCAGCAGACGCAGCAGCCTCAGTCCCCGTCAGCCCCAGCTGGAGATGCAGAGTCCCCAGCCATTCGACATCGGCCAGAGCCCAAGGTGCCAGCCCCAACGGCGCCAGTGGCAGTTGCAAGTCTGGAGGTGGCCCGTGCCCACCCAGTTTGGGTGGGGCCTCTCGACCATGCCCAACACAGGTTACATCTGAAGGAGGCAATCACTGGCATGGAGCAGATCATTTCTGCGCAGCGGTCGCTCCAGTCAGACGCAGCCCAGTTGCAGGCACTCGAGCTCGAGCTGAGCGTCTTGTAGTTCATGCGTGTGCACGCGTACCCTGCCAGGGAACGTGCTGCCAACCAACGGGCATATGTGCAGCGGGCCGAGAAGAGGCTGGAAGCAGCCGAGCAAGAGGAGGAGCTGACAGCAGCTGCCCTTCAATCAGCATCTGCTCATCGCAAAACTCTCGCAGAATACCTCCAGCAAGCGAAGTCGGCCTTGGCCCAGTTCGACGACATGGCGGAGCAGGAGCTCAAGTAAGTCGCCTTCGCGGAGGTGGCCGAGTCCCCGCGCAGGGATGTCCGTCCCAACCCAATCATGCCCGCGGTCACGTCGTTGCCGTCGGGTCCGAGTCCTCCAGTGCCGCAGCAGCCCGGGCGCCCGCCGGCTCAGCCAGCTTGGGCTGGAGGCAGCGCTCAGCCCGCGGCTCAGCTTCCGCAGGTCGTCGCGGAGATGCAGGCGTCACTGCTCGCACTGGCAGCTCAGATGAAGATGCTGACAGACTCCCTCGTCGAGATCAAGGGCAGCATCTCCGCGCTGGTGATGCATCAGTCGGGGCCCGCCACCGCCGAGCCCCCACTCGAGACCGCGGCGAGTGCTGCGCCGGCCGCGGCCAAGTCAGCAGCCTCGCGAGCGAAGCCGATGGCCCAGAGACGACAGGAAGCTCGGCAGCGGGCGGTGGCCAACTTGCCTGACCAGGCCAAGCTAGTGGCAGCGCTGACTTCGTCCTCAGCGGCACCTGCGAGCGCGCCCGAGGATGCCGGCAGCGAGGCGGAGCCACCGCGCATGTCTTTGCGCCTGCCCCGAGACCCCGAGGCAGCGACGTCGCAGGTGGCGGGCGACGACAGCGACGACGCCATGAAGGACGCCGCGGCTCATGGTGATGTTCCAGCAGCCGCGGAAGCGAGTTTTCGCAAGCCCGGAGCGGGGTGCAGCAGGCGGATGCAGGCCACGAGTCGCTGCAACCCGCCCACTCGGAGTGCGCCACTACCTCATGCCCGTGCTGTACTCTGGACGACAGAGGAGCCTCCACTCTTCCTGTTCGGGGCTGCCTGAGCAGCCCGCTCCCGCTCGACGCTTCCATCGAAGCACGCATTCGCCGTCTTTTGTTACCTTCAAGATCTGTCCAGGCAGTATTGATCGCTTGCTAAATATTGGCGTTCTACTACTGTTGCCGTGTTACCGTGCCTCAGTGCCCTGGAGGCTCCGGGGGATGTATGTCGCGTGCGTATATATATATATAGACATATGGCTCTGGAGGTGCCAAAAGGTGCTTTTGGTATTGGACCACCTGCCTGGTCCTTCGTAGTAAGTTTCTACGGTGATTGCGATCATGGGGCCCTCGCTGGGCACTTCGGAGGAACGCTGGACAGTGATGATATTGCTAGCTCGCTGGCTCCGTTGGCTTCAGAAATCTGCGCAGCCCAATGGGTTCTGGCGTGGTTTCTGCGATCTCCTTGTTTGGGTTGGGATGTTACTGTGACCGTCTTCGAGGACTGTGTGGAAGCTCTTAGGGTCGCCTCAGGTGGAGCTCTCTCTCGTGCTCTCTCGGGGCCCCGGGTGGCGCTGGACGCGCTCGCCAAGATTGTCGGTGCTGGGGCCCCCAGCCTCCAGTGTGTGCGCGTCGAGGGCCGCTCCGGGCATCCCTGGAACGAATTGGTCGACGCGGTTTCTCACCTCGCCCCCGTTCGACATGAGCGACCACCTTTGCCCGGCCACTCCTGGATAGAGGCGATAGCTGATATCAGTGCGTTGCGGCGGGTCTGGAAGGTGAGGATCTCGCGCAATATCCCCGGCCTGGGGGGCGACAGATGTCACTGTGCGTCCCTGATGCGAGACCAAGTGACTTCTTGGCGGCCGTGCTAGGCACGGCCGCAGTCACCCGATCTTCTGCCCCTGAGTTTTCCACGCCTCTCTGGTTTGTTGCTGCCGACGTTTTGACTTTGGACTCGTAAGCGTATGGGCAGGCCTCTGGTGGGCGCAAGACTGGTCTGTACATGTCAGGACGTATGAAATACTTGCGGGATCAGTTTACCAGGCATGAGTTGTTTCTGGTGGGGACTGTTGACACTAGTTCTCCTCGCAGTGGAGTTTCGACCATCCATGTTATCCATGCTCAATACACCTCCGATGGGAAGTATGGGTGTTCGCTTTGAGTCAATGCCGACATCCCCGTCCTTCCCTCCGCTCGTGTGTCTTCTGTGCATTGCCGAGTACTGCGTGCCGCTCCTCGGCTGCTGGCGGTGGCTATTGCAATTGGCAGCTTTCGCCTAGACGTTGTAGTTGGGCACGCACCTCGCAGCAAGGCATCGTCTGCGAATGTCCAGCACTGGCGGGGGCGCTGTGTTGATATTGTGGCCAGGATCCGTGCCCCAGGGACTGAGCTCATCAATCTCCTGGATGCCAGTGCGCGTTTGGGGTCCACGCGTTCCCGTCACGTTGGAGGCGTTGCGGCGGTCATGGAGAACTTCCCAGGACAGTGTTTCCATCGGTTCCTGGCTAAACTGGATCTGTGGGCGCCATCGACGTTTTTGGAATCTGGCCAGCCCTCTGCGAGCACGTGGTTTCCTCCTGGTCGGCTGCAGACTTTGGGCCGCAGACTTGATTGCGCCGTTCGCTCCCATGGAGTTTAGGTCATTCAGCGGCGAGTTATAGACAAGGTTGATCTGTCCGTCAATGTGGTTGACCATCTGCCCGTCGGCATTTGGGGCGCATTTCTACGTCGCCCGTCTGTCTTCGCCCCGGCCAGGCTCTGAAGGT